CAGCAGGGAGTGAGCACGATGCCTGATGCCCTTGAGGCTGACATTAATCCCCTCTAAGCTGAGGAGGAATGATGTGTCCAGCAGGACAGTGTGCTAGGAAAAAGCCCAGCGTCATGAGGTTTGGGTTTGGTTTTGACTTGTAGTTGTTGCTTTGGGTCTTGTGCGCATTTCTTTGCTTGCCCGTGGAGGCAGGGTGCTCCCATCCCTTGAGTGGCCCACATGCCTGACCCTGATCATGGGTAGGGAGGCCCCTGACATGTAAGATCTGCTCCATACCGTGGGCGGAATCCAATAGTCCTGCCCACCCCCCGGCCCCACCTTGCTGAGGGTTTGGTGGTGGCTGCTCAAGGCAGAGCCCTCCTGTTTCTATTTTTTCCTCGACCTCAAGCCATCTTGTAATTATCATTATTACTTTTTCTCCTTTTCTTGCCTTTCCACAGGGGATTTGCTATTGGTTTAATAAACTTTAAAAACATAACGGTTAGGAAAGTGCGCGTCTTTTTTTCTATCCTGCAAGTCCTATTTGCCTGCCTGCAGGGAAGAAGTAAGAGAAAGCTTAAATAGACCCAGTCAACAGACCCATGACTCTCACCTTACGCTGCTTCTGAGTCACACTGCAAAGCTGGAGGGAGAGAAAGGGCCTTCCTCCAGCAGTGATCACCAGCACTCTGAAAAGCCTTACAAAATCAACCAGAGAGCAATTAACTAAAACACTCCCGAGTCTTCAGCCTTCTGGCCACTGCTGCCACTGGAGACTTCTCCTTAGAGGGATGTGAGTTGGGCTTATCCACAGCAGAAGGCAATTTCGGGTGCCAGTTTCTTCCCCTCCATGCCCCTCAGGGCCGCATTTGCTGTGTGTAATGACATGCAGTGTGGGTCTCTCTCTCCAGGCCAGCTCGCCTCTGCAGACTTGGAGGAGCGCCACCATGAACCTTCTGCCCTGAACTCAGCAGCGCCCAGCAGCTAAGCAAAGCTGGCTCTGTTTATGACATGGGCTTGGACAATAGTCAGGGTGGAAGGGTCCTGGCTGACTGCCAGGATGCCTGTGGGGTGTGTGTGTGTGTGTGTGTGTGTGTGTGTGTGTGTGAATCTGTGTGTGCGTGTGTGTTTAGGGAGAGGAGAAACTTGGCCCTGCCTTTGGTGAGGTAAGAAAATCAGTAGCTGGTAACTGACCATCACAAAAACTGGTGGGTCACAAGCCACTTCCTGGGTCTCCTGCATTCCAGCAGCTCTCAGAAGGAAAACTATTTCCATATTTTGGAGGGGAAGGAAAATGAGGGAAGCCCGCTTTTCCCCCTGGGGCCTTGTTCTGGCCTGAGAACACGGCTTAAATTATTCCAGTCACAGGCAGGCTATTCAAATAAAACAGAATCTCAAACCACACGGGGCTTGTTGAGACAGTCAGGCTTCCAGGATGTGTGAAAGGCAGGGGGAGGGGCGGAGAAAGCCCCTACAGCTCTCCTGTCCTCTCTATTACCGGCAGCTGCAATGCGAGCCACATCGAAGTGTGTCTCCAGGCCAGGGCAGACTTAAGCAGGGCTGATAGCAAGTGAGCGCATGAAAGCCACTGTAAGGCTCCCCTCCCTGGTGGCAACTTTAATTATTTGAGCTGGAGCTCAGTGAAATAAAAATAAAAATAAAATAAAACCAGAATATATTATAAGTGGCTCCCCAGTTTCCTGCAGTGAGTAGCTTGTGGTGGAGAGGGGGAACCAAAAACCACAGTGCTCTGTCTGTGGCTGGGCTAGGCAGAGGTCTTTAAATATTCATGCCCCATGTACGACTGTGCAGAGAGAGGGAGGAGGCAGCGCCTGCGGCAGCACTGGCTAGGTCAGGAAAGGGGCGGTGGTGGCTGCAGCAGCTAGACGCAGGAGGTAGGGTCTTCCGAAATGCCTTGGAAGTCACACTGGGTGCAAGGCACACCCTAGTTATGTCTCTATTACTTGACATCTGAACTGGTTCCACATGCTCTCCCAGACCCTTTGTCTCCTCCACCCCTTCTACCACTCCATCATTTCTTACCCCGTTCCTGAATCATCTTTCTGAAAGGTAAGTTATATGACACTGTTTGGGGCCACAGGCAGTGAAGGGAAACTGCATGGATACAGAACGAATTTCAGGCACCATTGGCAAGTGCAATTATGGCCCATAAATCCTAACTTTTGATGTGGAAGAAAATTACCAATGATGGGGTCTGAAAAGGCAGAGTCCCTGGGTCCACTTAGTGATGTCATTGAAGAGGTCCAGGTTGGGGGTGAAGAGTCCTGATTTATCACACCTTCTAGGTGACTGCAGGTGGAAAAGCCCAGACTTATTAGTTAACTTGTGCCTAGACTGTAAAGGAAATTCACTGAAGACATCAGTTCTAGGGGACTTCACTGATGCCGGTGGGGTTTCCTGAGTGAGCATTGTAAGATATCTGCTACACATTTACTTCCTGAAGGCCAGGACTGGTCTGGGTAGAGAAGGTGACCTTTGCTGAGCATCACTCTTGGAGCTCAGGTCGGCTGTCTGTAAGTCCCTGTGGGCCCAGCTCTCATCAGGGACCTCTATGCATAGCACCCACCTTCCTGTCCAGCAGACTGGGGTCCTTTAGGGTTGGTGAAGATTAAAGGCCCCACGTTAACCTCACATCCTCCCACAGCAATACAAGAACCACTTCCTACCACCGGAGTTCAGCCAACCTGTGAAAAGGAAATCAAGTTCCTGCCTTCTGCGTTTAGGATTTGACTAAAATAAATAGTGGGGCTTACAAACCTGGAAACATATAATTATATTTTGGTTACTTTTTTTGACAAAAACATTGCTCCCGACATTGGGAAGTCAAAGACCCACCAATCAGCCTTAGAAAATGGTCTGAAATCCTGAATGTGAGATGATGTGAATATAAATATATGTAAAGAGGAAAATGTGAATGGAAGATGGACCTACTCTCTTGCCTGCATTAGGTCTGCTGAGCCAAGTTCTGAAAAAGGGCAGGAAGCAGCAGAAATAGCCTAGAGCAAAGTTGACTGAGGGGAAAATAAAGCAGGTTAGTAAAAGAAAACATCTGTTTCAGCTATTGATCAACTCAAAGGGTATTAAAGAAGTGATGGAGTATTAGAAAAATATCACTTTTACCTTGACATTTCTTTTTCTGACATTAGGCTCATATTCAGTCTAGGGAAGAATAAATTTAAAGACCAAGTGCTCTTAAGGATCCCCCTGGCCTCTCAGGTGGGCCCACCATCTGTCCACATTCAGACTTTTGCTTAAGAAACCTTCCTTTCTAGATACCAGCTCTGAGGCACCCAAGAAATATCAACAATGACTGTAATTCCGCCATCCGTATCAGATAGCATGGCTTCTCAAATACAATTTAAGTTAATGAATCTATTTATTTCTGCTCAGAGTTCTTCCAGAAAAAATTTAAGGTGGCTCAGAGATACTTAAAATGTAGTAAGATAACATAAGCTAGAGCCCAGTGAGAAAGATGGGACGAGTGTTGAGTTATAAAATCAGATCAGCAGTGAAGTGGCTACAAACTGCACATCATGAAGCTCTACTTGCTTACTAAGGAGAAGCCTCAGGTTTAATTTAAGTATTCCTCTAATTGAAAAAATTATTTATACATCTTTTCTGCTCTTTGTTTTATGTCTGTGTGTTTTTATTGCACAAGAAACCTGAAGGGCTCGAACACCATCCTTCAGCAAGGGGAGTCCTGTCATCTGTATTCTGCTGGCCAACAGCCCTCCTCCCTGGATTTCTACTCACTAGGGAAGGGAAGCAAGGTTGCCTGGTTTTATCAGTGTCCACTTGATTTCCTTTTCGCAGGTTGGCTGAACTCCAGTGGTAGGAAAATGGTTGTTGTATTGCTATGGGAGAATGTGAGGTTAATGTGGGATCTTTAAAGTTCACCAACCCTGAAGGACCCCAGTCTGCTGGGAAGGAAGGTGGGTGCTATGCAGGGAGGTCCCTGATGAGAGTTGGGCCTACAGGGATTTACAGCCAGCCAACCTGAGCTGCAGGAGCGATGCCCAGACTTCTCGGTCATACCTATCTGTGAAACTAAAACACGTAGGAATTTCTTCTGTGACTTTCCAAAACAATAAGAGGACTGGCTAAACAAAGTTAGGTGCTACTGTTCCACTGTGTGTCAGGTGTGGATTCAGGGACCATGGGGAGCACAGAGAAGTCCAAAGCACGGCCGGCCTCAGAGACCCTAGACTCTGCTTTGTGGCTAACGTCTTATTCTCCCTTTGAGTGTATACACAGTGTGCTAACTATTGTAGTGTTCACTTTATGACCAGTACTCTTCTAAACCCTTTACAAATATTAACCTATTTAGAGGTCATCACTTTGGAGCAGACACTATTATTATCTCCATTTTGCAAGTGAGGAAACTGAGTCTCTGAGATGCTCAAACTGCCACTTGAGGTATAACCTGTCTCAAACTCTGGTTGTTTATTCTGGAGTTCATGATTTTAATCACTGTGCCATGGAAAAGTTTTAAGCACATTTCTTGGCCCCTACAGATTATGACCACATGTGAAAGAACGTGGCACCTGGTCACCTTTTTCCACTAAAGAGATAAGAGTTTCAGGAACCATTTGGGTAAGTGGCTTTGGAATCCTTGTGGAATGTCATAGTGAAATTTAGGTAAATCAAATTTCTGATGCTTCATAATATGAAGAGCCTGATATTTTTTTTAAAAGGACCTTGTAGCAAGTCTTTTGTAAGTTGTTGTTATCCTCCCTGTATGCCTTAGGAAACATTTTCTGGGTTTGCTTAAGTTAAAGTCTTACGGGAAATAGTTCAGTGAGCTGAGAGCAAAGAGGTTTAAAGAAAGAGTCTGTGTGTGTGAGACTTTATCACGTTGGTGCGATCTGCCCAAAGCATGGCAAAGTGACCTTCTTGTCATCCTGCCATCCAGGCTCCTTGCTTGATCTGCTTTCATTCATGTGGAAGTGAGGGAGGGGTGGGAGGAGAAGTCAGAGAAGTAGAACAACAGTGAGACTTGCCTCACATGGAGAGTTCTTCATCGGTGCAGGAAATGTAGCACTGGTAACTGTTGCACTTTCAGGACCGGGGACATCAGTGGTACTGAGCGACAGGGCATGGTCTGTGAGAAAGAAGCAGAAAGTTATGAATACACCATTTTTGTAAACTCAGAGGTCCAGAGTCAGTGGACTTTACATAGTTATTATTCAGATTAGGAGTATCTTTTGAAGACACTGGTTTCTAGCCTACAGTGGTTAAGGAAGTCTTCTTGTTATTGTCAACAAACCCTGACTCACACAAAGACTTGAATTTCAAACTGTCTATGAGCACATGGCACCAGGCATTGGTCTACTATATTCCCAGTCCCCTAGGAGTAGCCCGAAGTGCCCTCAGCCTCCCAGTCCCACTCTTCCCATTGCAGGTCATGGCTGAGGTTGACCTCCAAAGGCCAAAGGTCTCAGTGACCTTCCCTCTCTCCTCCCCGTCCTGGAGCCCAAGTCCCTTGCCCCATCTTGCTTTCCCTCCCATGTTCTGTGCAGGGAGACTCATTTCTTCTGTTTTTTTTCCCCCAGTACTACTTAGCCTGACCATGAACTGCCAACTTCATACAGCAGCAGTGAGAAGCATCTCTACACCCATCTCCATCTCTTGGTAAAGTCTTCTGTGGAGATGCTACCAAGTAACAGGTTCTGGTGGATCCAGGCAGAGTTATCTGTACAGGCCAGAGATCTTAGGAAGCGTGAGCCAGATTCAAGAAGCTGGGATTACGTGACCAGGGAAAGAAAAGCCATCACGTTGGTGGGTGGGTCACCACTGTTGTATTTTCATATTCAAAACCCTGGCATTCTGGGATGGGGGTAGTGTAGACTCTAAGAGAAAAAATCATGGTCCATAGTAGAATCCTGGAGAGATGGAGCTTGGCTTGAGGTGAGGAAAATTGGCCCAGGATTCACAGTTGTTATACAAGGGAATGGGCTATTCTTGGAGGCACTCAAAGCCTGTCACCAGTGGCATCCAAAAAGGCTGAGGAGTTATTTACTATGGGTGCTGTAAGGGGAGTCACCAAACAGTACAGAGACACAAAGAGCACACCTGGCTTTGAGCTCTCTCTGTCCCTGCAGACAGGGTGCTGAGGAAGATGCCATAGGGTAAGGAGGCCTCGGAGGAGAATGAGGAGCTTCTGGGCTCTCCTCATCTGGTGAGGGGCCTCTGTAGAGCCCTCCTATAGCTGTGGAAACTCAGCCTTTTTTCTGTGGACCACCACAAGTGTCCTGGACCAAAGCCAACTGACTCCGATGTAGCTAGCACTGTCCCAGTTGAGCTGAATATTGCCCCGTCACACACTTTCATTATGACTGCTATAAATTCATAAATAATCCATAGGGTGAATAATCTTAGCTTGCAAAGAGAGGGGATTTTGGTAAGTGGGTCTCCAGTTCCACTAAGAGGGAAAGATTGTGGGAATGGGAGGAGAGAGACTCCTTTCCCACCAGCACACTCCTGCAAAGAGGTGGGCATCAGGCCCTGCCCGAGCCTAGCCACTGGGTACAATCTGAAGCTGGGCCATGGCTGGACGGCCTTGCTTCTCCAGCAGGGTGACTTTGGGGGCTGTGCTGGTCTCAAAGACTCTGACCTGTGTTGGCTAGAATCTGAATCTGAAGTTGGTTAATTCCTGTGTGGATGCCCATCTCTTGGATATATGGACACCCTTGACTTCTCTGGAGGTCAAGCAAAGGTTGGGGGGAGGGTGGGGCTCCAGTGCCAGGAAGATAGGAGTTATCAGTTAAAGCCATGCTGGGTAGGGCAATGACAGCGAACCTTTTAGAGCTTTCAGTGATAATAAACAGGTGCCATAGGTTCACCACCACTGGGATAGGGGACTGGCTGAGGTAGTTTGGTCCCAGAGAATGAAACAGATGTGGGGCAATGTTCCCATGGGACAGCTGGGCAAATGACACAAGGCCTGTCTGTGTTTTAGTTTCCCCAGTCATAAAAGGGACAGTTGCTCTCCCTGCCCCTCAATGAATTATGTACCTGACAATGTGGTAGGACTTCCCTTATTACAAGAATGGGTTATAATGATGGTTAATCTTTCCTTGAAGTTCTCATTTGAAGTAACAGAAGGTGACAGTAAGCTTGACTAGATTCGCTCATTCAAAAGCCCAAGAAGGAAGAAAGAGGGGATTATATGTGAATACACTACACAAACTTTGGGCAGGCGCCCTGAAGGGGGCAGGGGGAAGCCCAGCTGCTCTAGGGTTGGGACTTAAATCCACGTGGACATCAGGCTGGCATCAGGGAGAAGGGAAGAGAGGGGTGGTACCTTGGTGGTCCTGGGACCAGGCATCCTTCAGGGTCCTGACTTGCCACCGGGGCACATGGGGTGAGAAGGTGCCTTCGGTCCAGCCACAGAAACCGTCCTCAAAGTTGCAGTAAAAACTAGCAGGAAGTTGACCTGGGGAGAGAACAGAGGGGCACAGTTGTTGCCAGGACTGCTGAAAGCAAAATGAACCAAATTATCCTCATTAGTAACAGCTCCCTAGTCAGAATGTTTGATGTCTGGTGATACTGACCATGATGGAGAGAAGCCCCCAAATCATAGCTTGTGTACTGCTGGTTTGCAATGTTCTGATCAGCAGGAAATAAAATAGTAATAACAGCCCACCTCAGCCCATGTAAGCCTAGTTTTATACATGATGTAGAGGAGGCTTGCAAAGGTTAAGCAGCGTGAAAAGATCAGATAGCCAGCAGGTGATCCAGTTGGGACTCGAACCCAGATTACCTGCCTCTCAATTCTGTGCTCTTAATAGCAAGTCACCATGAATGTGACCCCAGAAGAAAGCTCACTAGAATGCATTTCTAATGGTCCACACAAGGACATGGTAGTAGCACCAGGGGTAGTGTTCACAGGGCATTGGTTTGGGTCTCCTGAAAAACCCTGTCTGCAGACATACCTTTTTCAAAGCCTTCCATTTGCTCCCCTTTATTTCCCTTGCAGTTAAATGAAGCTATACAACTAGTTCTGGACAACGAAATGAGAGTGGAAGTGATGTGTATCTTATCTGGATTGAGGCTTTGAAAGCCCTGTGTAAATTTCCAGTCTCTTTTCCCTTGCTTTCATGACAGAAGAGTTCTTCCTGAGGGTGCTGCTAGGAGGAGGGCAGGGCCTCTGCAGGTTGGGTCCTGTATGCTTCTGTGGGGCAGGGGGTCCTCTCACAGTGGCCCTCACAGGACAGGTTCCAGGTTCCGTACAAGAGACCTTAAGCCACTGCATTTTGGGGCTGTCTCACCACTGTAGCAAAACCTGGCTGATCCTGTTCAAGCAATCCCAGTCTTTGTGGCCTCTGCATCATCTGCTGGCTCAGCAGAAAGGGCCCACAATCCTTTCCTCCACACTAGAGTGACCTCAGGTCCTTTTGAAGAGACCAGGGTGTGTTTTCTTGACCATATATTTCCCCGCTGCCCACAGGAGGATGGAAGGAAAGGAAAAAGGCAAAAGAAAGTTCACTTTCTCCAGGTTCCTCTGAGAATGGCTGGCTCAGGGAAGCCTCCAAATCTGAAGAGCTAGTGGGCCACCCCAGCAGCTCCAGGCTGGCCTGTGACACCTCCATGCAGGGAGAAGAAGTTCTGTAGCTGAGACTCACAGCTCTCCATGTCCTTTCTCCGTCTCAGCCTTCTTGGCAGCAGCAGGCTGACAAAGAGGGCCCTAACGCTTCCTGGCTGTGACAGCACCTTAGTGAATTATTACTCATTTCCTCCCGATTCTCTGTGCACTTCACACTGAGGCAGAATTATAAATTAAAACAGGCTGTCGCTGACTTTGAGCATCTCTTCCATTTATACCCCCCTGAAGAAATCATTTCCCCCCAAGCCCCGCATGTTCCTCTGATTAAAAATCCAAAAGCTAAAGAGATCTTTCTGTTTTACTTTTTACTTCCCCCTCAAGGGATCCCACATTCACTTCTTTTGCAGAAACCGACTGGTGTCTGGAAGTGACCTTCCATGGAACGTCCTTCATAATCATGCTTTAAAAACCAAGGGCCACAATGGACGATTCTGGCAGGTGATGGGCTGACAGAAGAGGAGGCAGGGCCGAGCTAGGGGCTGCACAGCATGGTGCTTCCTGCTCATCCTTTCACGACACCACAGCAGGCTCTCCTCTCCCCCTCAACCACTCCTGCTGTGTGACCTCAGGCAAGTCACTTCCTTAGAGCCTCAGTATAAATGGGGTGACAGTAGCATCGACTTCACGGGGTTGGTTTTAGGGCAGAGTTGGACCAATGTGAAGTGGAGACCGTGGTGTTAATTATTATTCATACTTGAGTTAGGGCAACTCATCAGGGTAGGCCCTCAAACAGCCAACACTACGCTGGCAGGGGCCGAGGCAGAGACCTGGCTGCCTCTCTGGACCAGTCTCACGGGGCTGCTCATGCAGTATCCCGGCCTGTGCCTTCCAGGGAACAGGAATGAGGAAGTGATCACATTCTTCTGCTTTGGGAAGTCTCCCAGTCCTGGCTGGCATACAGTTCAGGGCGAGCTGGGAATAGAAGTCTCTTTTCTTTACAGCTGACGGAATAAAGGGAGAGCGGGCAGGCAAAACTGCAAGGCAGATCGATGGGCAATTTATGTGACAATTAAACTTTGAAGAAAGGAAGGGGAGCCGACAGGACTTCCTTTCCTGAAGGCCACATGGGAACTCGGGAAATCACTGATAAGGCCAATTGCTGAGCACAAGGTTGGTCTCATGGTGTCAACTCATCCTTTGATTTCCTCCTTCCCTTCTCATTCACCTGAGCACCTACTAAGTGTTTGGAACATTGTTAGACTTCAATATTTATTTGCTGAACAAAAGGGGGGCAGGTTTACTTCTTTAAACTCTTGTCACTCAAAACGGGGCCCAGGGACCAGATGTGTCCACATCAATTGTGGAGCTGTTACCGGTGGGGAGCCCTGGGCCCCACCAGGCCTGCTAACTTAGAATCTGCATTCTGAACGTGCTCTCCAGGTACCTCTTGTGCACCTTCACACTCGAGGAGCATTTCTTCAACCACCCCTTTCCTGGGCTGCAGCCAGGTAGTTCATTGGCTGGATGGCAAATTGGGCTGCGTGAGGGGCAGTCAATCCTGCCACATTTGGCAATTATGACATCTGATTCCACTCTAAGAGAGACAAATCGGTAGAGTCAGAGAGATGTGACCTCAGCCACAGCCACAGGGGTTGCCAAGTATAAACTCCAAGCCAAATGGCACTACTTCTTTTCCTCCCTATGTGACAACTCTGTTAACATTTTTGATAAATACGTGTTATACATTTCCTTGAAAATATGGAGTCTTGGGAAAATGCTATAAGAAATACATCAAAATATTATGATTATCTCTGAATGTGTGTGAGAGAGGATTATGAGCAACAGTTATTTCCTCCTGTGCATTTTTCTAGATTTTCCAGTTATTTTACAACCGTTTGTTTTATTTTACAGTAAAGAAATACACTTTTTAAAAATGTTGTTGTTATTTTTCCAGTTCGTGCTGTGTGACCTCAGGAAAGTCACTTCCTTAGATCCTCAGGTTTCTTGAATATCAAATGGGGTGACAGTAGCATCTACTTCAGGGGGTTGGGTTTAGGACTGAGTTGGACAAATGCAAAGTGGAGACAGTGGTGTTAATTATTGTGTATACTTAAGTTAGGGGAACTCATCAGGGTAGGTCCTCAAACAGCCAACACTACGCTGGCAGGGGCAGACAGAGCCCTGGCTGCCTCTGTGGACCAGTCTCGTGGGGGCTGCTCTTGCAGTATCTCAGCCTGTGCCTTCTGGGGAACCGGAACGAGGAAAGGTATGGGAAGAGTGTCCCATGTCCAGGGATGGGTAATAATGTGTCTACAATAGCCAGGAGTCAGTGACCCATCCAGGGAATGGAGTGGGGTGATCTGGCCTTTTTTGAGAGGTCACATGCCATTAAGACTATTGGCCAGGGGTCTGTTGATGGGTTACAGCATCTGAGATGTCTCGCTTGGATTTGGCAATGTTTTTAATTTTAAATTCAGGCATATTGGCAGCTATTATGATACAGAACGGGAAAACTGAGACCTGGGGGGTGGCAGTCAAGGTGCTGATTCCACTCTCCTTCCTCCACAGACAGGTATAGCTCAGCCCTGCTCCTGTGTGATTTTTCCTGGGTGACTCCATAGCCAGGGTAATGCTTAGCACAATCAAAGTGAGAGACTCATACAACAGACGAGTTTGGCCTGCAGTATTTGGGAATGTGGGTTCTGAAGTCAGACTGAGTCTGAATCATTGCTTAAGCCACCAGCAAAAAGTCTGCTTGTGGATCGAGCTCACTCTGGCTTCCTTGTCTCCGAGATGGTTATAACAGCACTGCCCGGGGTTGTTGTATGAAATAAATTAACACCTAAAAAGTGTTTAGAGCAGCACCTGCACATAGTAAGGGTTCAATAAATGTTAGCCAGTATTGTTGCTGTTGTTATCCTCATGGGGATGGTTTCCAGAATCGATGGTGCAGCAAGAAAACAGCAAGAATGCCAGGAAGCATAGGGCACACAAACAAGGAAAAAAATTTTTCCTTTCTTATTCTGCCAAGAGCAGAATAAGAAAAAGATTGGACTAACTCTCTACCTGGGTTGCACTTCCCCTGCTAGCAGCTGATTCTGCAGCACAGAACCCAGGCAGGGTGTTCTCTAGGGCGGAGCTGTCATTCTGAGAGCTGGGCAGAGCAGCATCTCAAATGTGGCTGAAAAGGCCACTAGTTCCTAGGCACCTGCCCTTGATACCCAAACTTGGCTGCCCTGAAGCGTGGGGCTTGTTCTGGAAATCCACAATGGCAAGCTCCAGAAAGGCAAGAAAATGATCTCAATCCACAGCAATGGGCTGGATTCCAAAAGGCTCAATACTCTAATCACAGCTCTGTCCTCGACATGCTGTGTGACCCTGAACAAGTCAATTACCTTCTCTGTGCCTTCATTTTCCCAACTGTAAATCAGGGAATAGCCTATCCGACCTGTGTCCCAGCTGGGAAGTGGGTATCAAAGGACTTTTTAAAGGCAATTATAAAATCATACAGCTCAGAGGCACTGTTGGAATTACTGTAGACACAAATAACTAGAGAGACACACACACAGGCTGCTGCCCTGAGCACCGTGGGCTGGCCCACCTACATTACTGTCTCAGTACATGGCGAGAATTCTGTGAGAAATGCCAGGAGCAGAATAGTGTGAAACAAGTGCTTGTCTGCAATTCTTCCCTGAGATTTATCTAAGAAACATGCCGTGACTCCATTATAATTGGAAGACTTCACTTGAAAAGTACATAAAAATATGAGGTTTTTAAAATTAAAAACTGGATGCTGTTATTGGTTCATTTAAGTGAGCATAAATGAAGACCCCTGAGGGGTGCAGATGATGAGGGGGACACTGTTACATTTTTAAAGTCACTTTATAAAATCCCCTGCAGGCCAGGGGTGTGTTGTGACCCGTGTGTCCGAGAAGTGAACTAACCTACTGCTGCTGGTCAGGGCCCACAGCACTGGCCACCTCAGGCAGAACTTCCCTCACCCCTTCCAGCTCAGGGTCCCCTGCTTCATTCTCTGCATGTGCCTTGGGCTTTCGGTGATTTGAGGACAGAATCACTGCGCTTTCCTTCTGCTCCAGGATTTAGCACATTTTCTAGCTCACTCTGGTGTTCTATAGGCATCTGTGTTTTCCCTGAGTGACGACTTCTGGTGAGGCTGCTGCTAGGAGCACTGTGTTCAGGTGCAATGCCTGAGGCAATGGGCACTGCCTGAGGGTCAACTCGGTGTGGGCAGCAGTGTGGCTATAGCAACCTATTTATTTTGTATGGAGCTCAGGTATTCCACCTCATTCATTCCCTTCCATCAAGGCGTAATCCTCAGGTACCCACACTGCACCCAGGGTCATGAGAGAGAGTGGTGCCAGAAAGATGCCCCGGCCTAATATACACAGAGAGGAACAGAGACACAGAAAACACCTCTGTAAAACATAGTGGATGCATGCCTACTAGGATGGCTAAATGCAAAGACAGATAATGACAGGTGTTGACAGAGGTGCAGGGACTGGAACCCTCTTGTACCTCAGAGTATGTAAGACGGTATGGCCACTATGGGAAAAGTGTTGACAATTTTTCAGTATGTTAAATGTAGAGTTACCAGATAATCCATGGATTCCGTTCCTAGTCTATACCCAAGAGAATCAAAAGCACAGGCTCACAAAAACACGTGTACATAAAGGTTCACAGCGACATTATTAATAGTAGCCAAAACCTGAAAACAGCCCATATGCCAATGTAGTAATGAATGGATAAGAATCATGTGGTATATCTATATAATGAAACAGTCTGAAATCAAAAGGGATGAAGCATTAATATATGCAACAATGTATAGCACACTTACTAAAAGTATGTTTAGTAAGTTAAGTATCCTTACTTAACTTTATACTTTAATAAGGTAAGTATACTTACTGAAAGAAAATCACAACAGATCACATATTACAAAACTCAGTTTATAGGAAATGCCCAGAACAGGCAAATCTATAGAAACAGAAGGTTAGTGAGTGGTTAGGTCTAGTGGGAGGAAGGACAAAGGGCAATGGGGAGAGACTGCAAGGGGATCCTTTTTGGGGGTGGTGAGAATGTTCTAAAATTAGAGAGTGGTAATGGTTGTATGATCCTACCACTATACTAAAGAACGCTCAACTGTACATTTTAAATTGGGTGAATCACAAGGTATGTGAATTATATCTCAAAATCATTAACAAAAAGTAGTGGAAGTCATTATGGCTGAGTTGGGGGTAAGGGCCCAGAAGCAGAAGAACCAACTTTATTGGGAGGATGAGGCTTCCTAGAAGAGGCAGCTCATGAGGCAAATATTGAAGGTGTAGATACAACTCAAGAAGAAAAGGGTGTCTGGGTCAGGGGAGACAACACGAGCAAAGCCAGGGAGCCACGAAGAGCTGTGAAGAGGTTTGATGTGGCTGGAGCTGTGGTACACAAGAGATTGGGAGGGTAAGGGAGGGAGGCAGGGGGCTGCTGAAAGACAGGGCTTGCCAAGTGGAGAAAGGGTGGCATAGAGAGAGCTTCCGGTGCCCCTTAGTGTTAAGCTTTGTCTTGCACTTTTTCTCTGAGCTTTGAGGATGCTGAGAACACACTTTACAAGGTCTTGCTTGCTTTTTAATGTATATGACCGCAAACCACGGAGGACTGTATTGTTTCCTGACCACAAGGCTTAGTGCTTTCTCTTAAATACTGCATGTTGTCAGAAGGGCAGTGACGAAGGTCATTGGGCATTGGGATGTCTTTCTAAGCTCCTGTGGCTCAGGTGATGGGGACAGGAGAGGAGTACAAGGATGAGGCAGGCTGGGGCAGGGCGGAAGCAAGCCGCATCTACTCACTGCACAGCTGGCCCTCGTCTTCTCCCTGGGCGCAGTCCCGGTGGAAGTCGCAGGCCTGCCCGAGCTGGAGGACTGTCCCATTCCAACAAGTGAAGGAACTCTGCAGGGCCATCTTGGAGCCTGGGGATGTTCCTAGAGAATACACAGACACATTGCCCTGATCAGTTTGGGTGGCTGCAGGCATTGGCTGGCCCCATGGGAAGGCAACAAGGAAAGCTTCCCCCTGCTATGCCATTCCCATCCCAAGGTCTGACTGGGACCCCTGTATCTCAACCTGGCCACAGGCAGGCCAACCCCAGCAAGCCGAGAGGCTGTCACACCCTAATCCCCCCACCTGGCCTGCTGAGGAGCTCACATTGTAGAGGTGATGAGTGGCCAAGTGGTAGATGTTTGCTCCATGTTCCACAAACGCTGTGGGGGCCTCAAACCCACGCTTCAGTGTGCCAGGTGGACGCACTACAGGTGGAATCTTGTCTGCACAACCAGTCCTATTCTTAAGGCCAAATATGGGGCATCAACAAGCACACTTGATCTTGGTTTTGGATCCCAGATTTCACTATTGGAAAGATTTACGGGGTGGATTCTAGAGACACACAGCACTTCCGTTGTGAAATGCAAAGCATATACCTGTGAGAGCGGGGCTCTGAGTCCTATAAGAAGCCAGTGTGAGGCTGACCATGCTCCTTGTCTGCCTGGCCTACCTACACACACACACACACACACACACACACACATACATACACATATGTATATACATTGTCTTTTTGAGACAGGGTCTCACTATGCAGTTCAGGCTGGACTTGAGCTCACTTTGTAGCCTAGGCTGGTCTCAAACTCATGATGATCCTCCTGCCTCAGCCTCTCGAGTGCTGGGATTACAGGCATGTGCCACCATGCCCTGTCCTATTCTTTTATAAAAGGAAGAATTTTGACTATATCTTCAAGCTTTACTCCAGCTCTAAGTTTCTTAGACATATCATATTATCTATGGGGAAGCAAGGACAGTTTATAATGCACATATTAGCAGTTATCAGTTTCTGTATTAAGAAGAACACATTATGATAATTAGTGTGTGACCTCTCATATCTCTGCAGGCCCCACAGATCCAGGCTATGGGGAGGAGCAGGCTGGCCTGGCCTAGTCTCTCCAACTTGAGTGGAAAACAGCCTGGTGCCACTCAAGGCCTGCCTGGTGCCTCCTGCAATTCAGTTCTTAGACAGTAGGAGGTGCAGGAGCCTCCACTCCTGTGGAGATGAGCAGGTGGAGCCCACCCAAGTTGATATCCCCAAATGTGGCTGCCTTACCCTCTTGCCTTATTTTCTAGCTCCATCCCCTTTGGTAGCTATTTCCTCAGTAGTCACCTCACCTCCATCCCACCCACTATAGTGCTCAGGATGACCTAGTCTCCCAGCCTCTCTGAGCCTCATGCAGGGTCTCCTCCAAGCCTAGCTACAAAAACGGATTTAGCTGACTAGGATGTGAGATGTTCCAGGGTGGGTGATAGACTGACATTTAATATCTAAAATTTCATGATTTTCTGGTTCATTTGACTGTTACCAGTGACACAAAAACTAATAGGAAGTCCAGCCTATTTGCTTCCTGAGTTCCTCTGCCTGCCTTAGCATGTCAGGCTCTGTGAGGAAGGCAGGCAGGTCTTAACAGTGGGTCTTAGCATTTCCTGAGCAGGGAAACTGAGCTCTGAGAGGTAAGTGACTTGTCTAAGGTCACACAGTCAGTATATGAGATGAAACCAAATTTGTTGGGCCTCAAAGCTGCTTTCTCCATCGTATAGAAGGGAAATGCTACAGGTGAACTTGTGCCCTCTTTTATAGGCTGTACCAGGTAAGGCTCGGTTTATTAGATTACACAGGAGCTACCTGGCATTGTCAGAGTGGCCTCCAGCCTGGCCAGGCAAACTCTGTGACTCCTGGGTGTGGGAAAACATGCCCATGTCCTTCCTGGGAATCACATCTGAGCCCTTTAACTTGTTCTCCAAGGTTGCCCATGACCCAGGCCCAGATTGCCTTTTCTGTCTCATCTCCCTCTGCCTCTCTCTGTGAATTCTGAGCTGTGGGTCATGTGATGGTGGCCCGCAGAGCCTGCTATCCATTCCAGGTATAGCTCACAGTCTCTGCCTGTGACAGTCTTCACACATTTTTTGACTTTGACTCTATTCACTTGACTCTGGAACTTATATGGATGTATTTCCATCTTCTCTATCATGTTGTCTGAACTTTTGGCCATCCTCAGCCCTAGCCAGGCTTGGTCCTTAGGAGAGCTCATGACTGGCCTGAACACTACCGCAGAGGGGCAGGCTGACTAGCGGATCCCCAAATGACCACACCCTAATCTCGGGAACCTAACGTGAATGTGAATGTTACCTTACATGGTAAGAAGGACTTTGTGGATATGATTAAGGCTGTCTAGATAGAAAGATTCTCCTGGATTTTCGGGTGACGCCTCCCTCCTTATCAGAGGAAGGCAAGAGAATCAAAGTAAGATGCTGGAGATGTGATCCTGGAAGCATGAGTCTGGGATGATGAGAAGAAGGGGTCCTGACCCAAGAATTGCAGGAAGCTTCTAGAAGCTGATAAAGTCAGGGAAATAAATCTATTCTTTAGATTCTCTAGAAGGAAACAGCCCTATCCAACAGCATGCCTTTAGCCCAGTGAAACTGATTTCAGGCTTCAGCCCTCCAGGACCGTAAGAGGATAAATTTGTGTTGTTTTAAGCCATTAAGTTTGCAATAGTTTGTTACAACAGCACTAGGAAATTAATATACCATCTAAATCCAACTCCCGATGAAATCACAGACCAAGTCTCTTTAGGGTCTGGTCAGCTGAAGCCCAGTGTATATTTAGACCAACTTCTCAGTTCTTTAACTTTTTTTTGTGACTACTTTCTTGTGGTTTCCTAGTCTGGTTGACTCTACCTATTTCTTCCTTACAGAGGATGAAAAGCGCTGTCCCAGTCCTCCAGACAGCCTAAGATAAAGCTTCTCCCAAATACCGTATGGATTCTAAGTACAGAGACATGAATAATGAAATTCCCCCTTGCTCTAACACTGCCCAGTTCCAAGTATTTTCACGTAACTCAGTCCCCGCAAGAAAAGTGACACAGCAGAGGTGAAGCACTTCTGTGAGGTGCTGACGTGTGAGCCTGGCTTGGGTTCCACAGACCATGTCCTAACAATCAACGGCACAGAGGCATGAGACTTGTCTGTTCACCAAGCCTTGTAGCACTAAGACAGGGAAGCGCTATTATTTCCACTTTTCAGGAGGAAACGTGAAGCCCAGGGATATTGCCTGTCTTCTCTGCTCCTCTTTCAGGGCAAAGGTATTGTTATGGTTCGAATAGAGTTCATCTCCCTTATTCCCAACTGATGCAGGACTTTTGTCCTCCGAGTCATGGAGTAATAGAACTTAATCTCACCTTTGAGTTTGGAAGTAAGGCCTTTTGGAAGTGATTAGATTGGATTAGGTCTAATGATTGAATCCTGGTAGCTTTCTAAGGAAAGGAAACAGATTACACAAACATAGAGAAATACATGTGTTCCCTGTTGCCATGGTGTGATACAGTCAAAGGGGGGATCTCACCAGGGCCTGTGCTGTGGTGTTTGGGCTTCTGGCTGTGAGGTAAATAAACCGTGAACTAAATAAGCCTCCTTTCTTTCAAAGGAGCCTGCCTTACATATTTTGTTATAGGAATGACAAGTAGACTAAGTATTAGGATTAAAGAGTTCTCCTTTGAATGTGCTTAGTGGTTTCCACAGCATTTTTCCTAGGCCTTATCATGGGTGATAATTAAACACAGTTAGGACTTTATTACTCTCACTCTCAGCCCTACCGCAGAAAACAGGCAAACTCAGGAACCTGTAAAGTCGCCCCTAACCTCTGGGACACATCTAAGCTGTGTTGTGTTTTATTCCAACCACGTGCCCCTTTGTGTGTCTCCATGAACACAGGAGTGCTTCACACACCAATTTCTTGGCCTTCCCCAAGTAGGTCTTACAGCTTCTTTTACGTTGCCTTCATTCTAAAAACATAGTTTGAAAGCAGGTTAAAAAGAAACAAAAATAAAGCCTAAAGTCCCACCACCCAAAAGCCATTTTTAACATCTTGATTGATTTATCTTTAGTTTTTTTATCCCTATGCTTTAGTCATGTCATCTGTGTATAGGCCTCAAAATAATTAAGGTTATATCATAATATTTTCTAGGGCTTTAAAAGTTCCCCCAAAGAATACTTTTTAATGGTTACAATACAGTGTGAGATGCACCGTCCTTTATATAAACATTATTTGATGATTGGGCTGCTAGTCTGTTTATAATAACAGTTTGAAGAATATCTTTGAGCATAAACCTTTGCCTGCATTTCAGATTATTTTCATAGGATAGATTCCCAGAAGTGGAATTACTGAATCAAAAGGTATAAACATTTTAAGGGCTCTTGATACATATTGCCATATTGCTCTGTAGAAGTTAATCCAATTTATAGTCTTTACCAGCTGTGTTCGTACATGCACGTCCTTCGTACTCCATCCTGGCCAGCCCTGAGCATTATTCTACTTTTAATTTTTAACTAAAGGGATCTCCACACTGTTTTATTTTGAATATCTTTGATAGTGAGGTTTAATGTTTTTCCACAGGCTGCCAGCTTTTTCTTTTCCAGTGCTGTGCACGGAACCTCAGGCCCCATACATGCTGGGCAAATGTTCTACCACTGAACTACAACCTCAAATCCTTTCTTCCTGTTTTTATACTTCATTAATAAGGATGTGAAACCATTTACTCTATGTGCGATATATACTTAGTTATACATATTTCACGCATATTTTCATTTTGTTTATAATGTATTTTGGTGTATAGGCATTTAAAATTTTCATGTTATCTAAATCTATCTGTATTTTCCTTGCTGATGTTTTCTTTGTTTAATGCTTGTAGAGGTTGTTCCCTGAGAGACCGGTGAGCAATGTGCAGGTCACCCTGCATTGTTTTGGGGTTGCTCTATCCCTTGGGGGTGCCTTTCACCAAAACTCCTTTCCTGTCAGCAATGGTGAGCTGGATCTTGTCATTTCACCTGGGACATTTTCACAGATTCTTCCTTCTCCCCCTCTGTGAACAGTTTTTTCCTG